GATGTTGTAAGGAAGAATTAGAACCAATAGGAGGAATCACAAGAAAGAGAAAACAAAACAGAAGAAAAAAATAGCAAATAGTATGATTTGATCTGCATTCAAACTCCATAGTTCTTTCTTCTTTGTGAATAGCATTTTCCATCATGAGACCTTTGGAGATGTCTTAGATCCTTGTATTGCTGAGAAGGGCTAAGCCTATCAATGTTAGTCATAGAACAACATGGCTGTTACTGTGTACAACATTCTCCTGGATCTGCTCACTTCACTCAGCATCAGTCCATACAAGTCTTTCCAGGTTTTTCTAAAGTCTGCTTGCTCATCATTTCTTATAGCACAATAGTATTCCATTACATTCATGTACCACACCTTGTTCATCCATTCCCCAATTGCTGGTCCTCCCCTCAATTTCCAATTCTTTGACACCACAGAAAGAGCTGCTATATATATTTTTGAACACGTGGGTTCTTTTCCTATTTTTATGATTTTTTTGAGATACAGCCCTAGAAGTGCTATTGCTGGATCAAAGGGTATGCACATTTTTATAGCCCTTTGGGCATAGCTCCACATTGCTGTCTAAAATGGCTGGATCATTTCACAACTCCACTAGCAATGCATTAGTGTTCCAATTTTCCCACATCTTCTCCAACATTTATCATTCTCCTGTTTTGTCATGATGGCCAATCTGATAGGTGTGATGTGGCACCTCAGAGTTGTTTTGATTTGCATTTCTCTAATCAATAGTGATTTGGGGTATTTTTTCGTATGACTACAGAGGGCTTTAATTTCTTCATCTGAAAATAACTTACTCATATCCTTGAAAAAGAATATGTTTAAAGGATTCATGATAGCTGAAATTATATTAGTAGCCTTAGAACTTCTGTTGTGCCAGTGAAAAACAAAGGAAAAGGTCAAGTAATAGGGAACTAATGAACTTCTTTCAGACCTAGCTGAATATTCACAGATGCTTATATCAATCCATACAAATGTCTAAATACATAGGCTTTGAATGTATTTTAGTAATTATCTTTGGATATGTTTTAGTAAGTGTTTATACAAGTCTCAAATTGGATTGAGGCTTTCACATATAGAATTGTTTTAATGAGTTGTCAAGAAACTTTTAAGTCATGATTTTTTTTTTGAAAATGAAAAGATAAAGAGGAAATAAATGCTACCTGTCCCCTTCATGGGCAGTAGGTGGTTCAGTGGATAGAGTGCTGAGCCTGAAGTCAAGAAGACTCAACTTTGAGTTCAAATTCAGCCTCAGACTCTTACTAGCTGCATGACCCTGGGCAAATCACTTAACCCTGTTTACTTCAGTTCTTTATCTGTAAAATGAGCTGGAGAAGGAAATGGCAAACCATTCTAATATCTCTGCCAAGAAAACCTCAAATGGGGTCACAACAGTCAGATACAACTGAAAAACAACTTAATAACAACAACAAACAAAAATCTCCTTCATAAAACAAATGAAACTATGTACCTAGAGGTACATACATTATACGTACATACATTGGGAAAAGAGAAGGGAAATATTTGTGGTCCTCAGAATGACCAGAAATAGAACTCCTTATAAAACCATACAAGCAGTCTTAAGCATTTAGCTTTAGAAAAAGGTTTCTCCCAATTTGTTGAAGCTTATAATTTAAACATACTGTTTGTCCAAAGCATTTCAGTATGTGCAAAGGATGAAAAAAAATTTTTTTGAAGTCTACTGTTTGGCCTAATTGCTTGGTTAAAAGGCCAGCTTTCAAATTAGGACAATAAGGGAGAATTACCAATAATAAAAAACAGGTTTTAGTATTATAGCTAAATATTAACTAAAGCTTCAAATCATTAAAAAAAATTTGCATCATATTTTGTGAGATTTTTTTAAATGAAAGATTGATTTTTTTTTCCATTTGCATTCTGTCTCTCTCTCTCCCTCTCTCTGATAATATCAAGAGACAGAAAGACTTGTTTTACAAAGTCTGGTCCTCAAGGACTTATTTTAGATTCTTCCTCTAGCTTATAGATAACATACGTGAGAAATGATTAATTTGGACGCCTACTCTATTACAATCAGTTATTAATCAGTGATTCCATAGGGGTAGTGACTATAAGCTCTGTATATTAGGCCCCGAAGCTGTGAACTGAAGATTGTAAGTTCACTTGCTTAATCTAGAGGCCCTTGTTTTCCTTGTTACCAAGTCCAGACTAGCAGAGGTGACTCAATTACATGGAAAATCCTCCAACTTATTTTTGTACCTCCAAACCACTCTCTCTTGTCCAACATGAGCAGGTAACCATCTTATCACTATTTAGTGGAGATGTCCCATGCTTTGCCCAGTCTGTGACACCCCCCTTCCCGCTGATATGTCATTTTTGGCCCTCAAGAGCAAGGTTTATCAACCAATGAGATTCTATATTTTACCATGCCTCTTTTGCATGTTTGAGTATCAAACCCTATAAAAACGAGGTCCTGGGGACCAGGGACACCTCAGATCATGAGGAAGATCTGAGGACCACTTCATTAGAGGGGGCAATGGACTGTGAGGGACTGTCTGATGTTGGCTACTGCCAAGTGAAGATTGTGGCAAGATGGGATAGTAACAAGATATTAGGAAGTAACAGGAGCTCACGCTCCCGAGGCAGTGGGCAGTGCTATGTGGAGCTGTGATAAGCTGGAGAAGGAACAGGATACAAGGAAGTAGCTGGAGCACGTGCTCCTGAGGCAGGGGGCTGTGCCACGTGGGAGTGGGACGGCAGAGAACGAGCTCCCTTTGTCTAGCCCCCTCCCTAGGTACAACGCTAACCCCAGACGCCTCCTTCCTGTGTCCAAACCTGACTTCCTGGGTCACATACTCTCCCTTTGTGTAGCACTGACCCCAGACGCCTCCTTCCTGTATCCGGTCCTAGCCTCCTGCGTCACGTCCTCTCCCTTGGTCTAAGCACTAACCCCAGACATCCCCTTCCGTATCTGATCCTACAATCAATGACTAGTAGGCGGGCTGAGGAGGAGGGGCTAAGTAGGTACTTAAGAAATGGTAGTGGTCGGAGCTCGCTCTCTCTTTGCTCCTGCTCTCTTGCTCTGGCCTTCCTGCTTGGCCTTGCTGTGATGGCCTCTGAATAAAGCTCTGGTGTTGGCACCTCCTGATCGGCTCGTCTCTGTGTGTCTTCGGGTAGGCACCGAAGACTGGTTAAGTATGACTCTGGCAGCCTGCTCCTTATAGGAGGAGAGTGCACGGCGCGGTCGGCACAATGGACCCTTTAATAAAGTGCCATTGGCTCAGAGCTCTGCCTCAGTGGTTTTTCTTGCAGATTGGACAATTATAATCTCCACACATAATCCACATCTTATTCAGGGTTCTGGTAGGTAAAGATAGAAATTTCAAGTGGTGTGGGAAGAATGAAACTCTCTAAACTTTTGGATGACTTAAGGTAGCCTAATTTGATGTTCTTCCTATAGCCCTGATGTTTATAAGGTTAACCACATAAGGTTTGAACAGGCTTTCCTCACATGAACTAATAACTGGAAGGCCAATGTGATTAGATTTTGTTAGACTCCACTAAATTATACTAAGTCTTATCACTGCTAGATTTAAGCAGCATTACTTAGAAAACTTCTACAAGTGGCTTAGAACCTAGAAAGCAGATCTACTGGGAGGAACAGTCCTTCAAAAACTGTCCCAGAAAAAAAGGCTTATTCCAGGTACTGTTAACAACTGACACTCCAGTTAAAGACATTGGGATATTGATTCAGGGATATATGTCTTTGAGTGGACCTCTGGCTAGTTCCCACCCTTGATCCTATCTAGACCCCATTGTTCCTCCCAGTCACCCCAGCCTACTGGCCACTCCCATCAAGATTCTCCCACTATCCCTTCTCCCAGTCACCCCAAACTACTTGGACACTCCCAGATCCCTCCCACAGCCTTTCTGTATATAAGATCCATCTTGGCCACCATCAATGTGCTCAGATTCTTAAAATCTGGCCAATGGCTCACGTTCAATCTGGCCCACTTGCATTAATGATACAATAGCTTGCTTAAGAGTCTGGCCAATATGTGGATTCTTAAAATCTCACCAACTCTCCATTGGTGTTCTAATAAACTTTGTCTTTGGCTGAAAGAAGGCTTGGGTCGAATTCATTAGGGCAGGACCCTCTTGTTGCTATTTTGAGGTCACAGCACCCCTAAACCTCAACAGTAGCACCTTAGTAAATAACCCTTTCTAAAAACTACTTCTCAATAGGCAACTAGGTGGCACAGGGGATAGTCAGCTGACTCGATGCAAATCATTGCATATCTATCTGCCCTCAAACATTTACAAGTTGTGTGTCCCTGGGCAAGTCACTTCACTTCAGTTTCTCCATAAAATGGGGATCATAATAGCACCTATCTCCCAGGGTTGCAAGGATCAAGGGAGATGATATCTATAAAGTGTTTAGCTCCGTGCCTGGCACATGGTAGGGCCTTAATCAATTTGAAAGGTGTTACCATCAACTAACAATGAGGAAGGGGGAGCCCACCGTTGGGGCATTTAGTTCCGAGCATTGGAGTAAGCCATTCTATCAGCCCTCGGCAGCCTAGATGCAGGGTTAGGTCTGATCCCGAGTGGGAGGGTGGGGAAGCTCCTCGGAGCCTAAAACCGTGGCCTTGCACGGAGCACCAGGGCCTGGCAAACAGAAGATGCTTGGGGATAACGGGCGGTAGCGGGAGGGGGGGAGTGCGGTGGTGAGAGCCGGGCCACGGAGCCTGCGCACGTCACGTCGGTTCGGCGTGCGTGCGTGAGTGCGGACGGAGCGCCAGCCTCGTTCCGGGGTGGTCTCCATGCTTCGCCCGAGTGGGCGGGGAGGCTACACGGGCTCTCCCGCCCCTCTCTCATCCCCTGTGGGACGCTTTCCCACCCTCAGGGCGGGCCAGGCCGCGTCCTGGGCGGCCGCACCGTGGTCTATGGGCCCACCCCTTCCTCCTTCCCCGCTGTCTTAAGGGACTTTAGTTGCTGCTGTGATCGGCCGCGCATGCGCACACAACACGCATACGTATATACATATACACACACACGCACACACACTCACACTCTCTGACACACGAACGCACATTCACACACCCCCGGAGCCATGAGGGTGGCAGGTAGGAGGGGGCCAGCTCCCGGGAAGTCGGAGGTGGGGTGGGGGGCGGGGGCGCTGGGGCCGCGCATTGGAGGGAGCTGGGAATCTAGAAAGGCCTCTGAGGGGAGGAAGGACGGCACTCCAGGCGTGGGGGCCGGCCTGTGCAAAGGCCTAGGAGCAGGGGGACCGGTGATGGTAGCGGTCGGCTAGGAAGCGCTGCTGGGTGCTGGCAGACGAGGGAGGCGTCCCAGGCTCTGAGGCCTGCCCTCGGGGGCCGCCTCGGAGGGTGATTTCGCGACTGCAGAAGCAGCCAAGCTCACCATCTGCTGGAGCGGGAGGAGACCCTCTTTCCCTGGGTATTCAGGTGCTGGGCTGCCTTGGGGGGCTCTGCGGGATCCGAGCCCGAGAATCGCCTGCGGGGTGGTGGGGGTGGTACTTAAACCCCTAGGGGCTGTGACTATAGATCCCTGAGGTGGACTGGAAGAGCGCCTTAGGGCACAGCCGAGGACGGGTCGATTTGACTCTAACTGGAAGAGACCAAAATGGACCGTAAAGACAGGATGGAAACCCGAGGAATACAGTGCTAGAAAAGTTGGAGAGAGAGAACTGGGATATTATAGAGGAAACCAACCAAGCATGATGAATTAGGAAATTCATCAGTTTTCTCCTCAATCCAGGACATTTTCACTGAGGGTTTGAGGTTTCAAACCCTTTCTGAGTAAAGAGAGAGAAACAACAGCCAGAGATCAGAGCCTCTCTCAAGGCCCCTCCCATTAAGGACCTCCAAGAGTACCTGGGATCTCCTCAACCCCATCCCAGTGCCCCAAAGTTATTATCAAAGGAGATCAGCTTGGCCAAGGGTGGGTGGCACACAAATAAATGCTAGCTGTCATTATTATTATGGAAATGACTAATGAAATAAACTCAACTCTAGATGATCCAGCCAAGTCCTTTCTGAACTATTAACCAGGAGGTCCTGTGCAAAAGAAGATTTGGAGTCTCCTGCTAGCAGGAGCCTTGATTTTTCTCTTCCTAGGCCCCTACCACACTACCCTGCACATAGGTATAGGGGCAGGAGACTCCTACCAATGTGGGTCTGCATCTTCTCAGCAATTTATGTAGTCTTGGAAAGTTGCCTAGAGGAAGAAAGGGTAGGAGGAGAGGGAAGGGGATGGGGGGGGAAGGGGGAAGAGGGAGAAAAGGAGGAAAGAAAAAGAGGGAGGGAAGAGGAGGGGTGGGATGGGTAGGGGAAGACCAAGACAGACAAACACATTTGCCCAGGTTTCACAGTCAGTGTGGATCAAATTAATGGATGAGCCGGGGTTCAGAGATGAATCCTCCCTACAGAGCTCATCTTGCCATCCTTAGAAAAGTACTTTCTCAAACTTTAAAGCACTATGGTCTGTTGTAGTCTCATTTCATAGACTCCCTGGCAAGTCCATGGGGATGCTTTCTGCATTGAGAAATCATCTCCCTGACTCTCCTTTCGTCTGCTATTGATAGGCTCAAAGGTTTGGAGTTGGAAGGGGCCTAGGAGATGATCATTTCCCTTACAAATGAGGGGACAGTGAAGCCCAGAGTCCCAAGGGAAGGCAGGTAGTCAGGCAGATGTACATGTTTTTTGTACCTGTGACCTGAGGTTCCTGGGCAGGCTTTTCACCCTGGACCATTAGCTCCAGAGCCAATCTTTCTGCTGCACCTACCACACATGCTGTTGTCTTCCTCTCCTTCCTTGCATGTGTAGAACTTCCTGAAGATAGCAGAAGTCTACCCTGCGATCCCTTTTTCTATTATATTTTCTAGATTATCTCCTGTTTCAGCCTTATCTTCATAGTCTGAGAAGGTTTACCTCCCTAATCTCTCTTTACCTCCAGAACTTCTCTGGATCTCCCCCTGGATCTTGGTTATTTGGAGGAACCTGGACTGCATAAGTTGAGCATTCCAACAAGGAGTCAGAGAAACTAGGAAAGTCTCAGAGTCGTTGATATTTCCAAGGAGCCCTTAGCACTCCCATCAAATTAGCATTAATGACCCCTAACTTGGGTGGCCCTTGCAGTTGTGCTAAGGAAAGAGCTCCCCAAGAAATGGATCCAAGCAAGCTAATGGCTGAAGCTTTGGAATTTGGGAAGGAAGAATGGGACAAAAGCCAAATGAAGAAACCATGTAAGGAATCTATTGCAAAATGCAGCTCGAAAAGGTCTCTACACATTTATTCGACCCCAGCTGCCACAGCTAAAACTTCTTTCAAAGCTCTTTCATTCATTCATTCATTCCTTCATTCATTCCACAAGCATTTACTAAACATTTACTGGGTACCCCTAGGCCTCCTGGCCTCCAGGAGCTGGCATTCATTCATTGGTAGAAAGCAATATGTAAGAAGTACGTACAAAGCACTTTGGAGAGAGGTGCTGAGCACTAGCCACTAGGAAAATCCTAATATAATTCAAATCCTTGTATAGCAGGTGGCATTTAAGAGGGGGAGAGGGGGAGAGCATTTATTAAGCACCTACTGTGTGCTAGGCACTGTGCTGAGTGCTTTACAAATACTATCTTACTGGATCCTCACAACTACTCTGGGAGGTAAGGGTTGTTATTAATCTCCATTTTACAGATGAGGAAACTGAGGCAAACAGAGGTCAAAGGGTGCCCTGGGTCACTTGGCTAGTAAGTGAGGTCGGACTGGAACTCAGGTCTTCCTGACTCCACGCCCACTGTTAGGTCCGTAGTGCCATTAGCTGCTTCTAGCAGGTAGAGGGGAGAAGGGAATGGGAACAAATAGCACAGGGGCAGAAAAGAGAATGTTATGGCAGAAAGCCAGTTTGACTGGAACAAAGGCAGTAAGGAGTCCGTCACTGGGACTTTGGGAGCAGAAGCATGACATGGTCACACCTGTGCTTTAGGACTATAGCAGTGAAAACTGCTGTTCACAGCAGTGCATCTGGGGCCCTCAGTCCTGAATGGAGAAGAATGGGCTTAATCATTTTTAAGGTCATTAGGATACACAATTCCCCTGGGTAAACATGAGTTGTCCCCCAGAATCTACGGAAGTGTCCTCTAACTCTCAAGACCAGTGGAGGGGACAACACAGCAAGAGCTTGTCTTACATTGCCACCTGTCCCACAAGCTGAGATGGAGCATGTGTGAGCAAATTAAAGAAAACAAAAATTAATACCCCCAGAGTTGTTCTGTTCAGTTATTCAAATTTTCTAATTCAAACCATTATGGGTAAAGTGTATTTCTTTTTGTTGTCTCTCCCTCCTTCCTAAGCCCTGGAAAGTGCTTCCAAGCTCAGTGTCCACAGATCCATGACTGGCATGTTCCTCTAGAGGATTTGTAGTAAATGCTTGTGAAATGAAATGGCTGTCAGGTGACATTTGAAATGCAACAGATGCCTAAATTGGGAACACGAAAGAGATCCTGACAGCCTGAAAAAAGTGCTAGTCAAATAAGATGAAATTTGGGGGGTGATTTTTACTGTTATGTCATTTTTTGTTTCCAAATGTACCTCTATTCCTTTCCCTTCTGAAGAGAGCCATCCCTTGTAACAAGAATAAAAAAGAAAGGGGAAGAAGCAATTCCGTATCAGCTGAGTCTGACAGTATGAGCATTGTTCCCCACCTGTAATCCCCCTACTCTGTTGTGCAGGGAAGGAAGGAGAGAGAGAGGGGTATTTCTCATTTCTCTTTTGGGCCAAGCTTAATAATTAGACTTATGCGGCACTTTGGAGTTTCTCTTGTTTTCTTTCCATTTGCATTGTTGGCACTGTGTGCGAGGGATGTGGGTGTATGTGTGTATTTGGTTCTGCTTGAATAAGATGAAATCTCTCAAGGATGTTATTACATTTAGGTTCACAAAAATCTAGTGCAGAATGTGGGAGGCATGGTAAAAGAGTCATTTGTGTGTCTAAAGGCAGGCCTGGGTGTCTCTGGGTATATCGGGTAGGTTAGTACGGTAAGTGGCAGCCCCCAAAAGCAGTATGCTCTTGGGCTCCATGACAGATGGATAGTGGCCAGAGGAAGGGAGGGGATAGTCCCTCTGCTCTGACCACATCTAGAGTCCTGTGTTCACTTCTAGGCGTAACACTCCCAAAATGACACCAACCAGCTGGAGCTGCTCCAAGGGAGGCAGCCAGAATACCAAAGGAACTGAGGCTTAGACTGTCCAAGCCCAGATACATTGGAGAAATTAGAGATGTTTAACCTGAAGAAAAGGAAAAGAGATAGGATCTTCAAAAGATTGACCTTGTTCTGCAAGGGCAGAACTGGGAGGGAGAGGGGGGAGGCTATAAAGACAGATTTCTGTTTAATATAAAGAGAAACTTTGTGCCAGAGTCTGAAAGTAAAAGGATTTGCCTGAGGAGATAATGATTTCTGCACATCTCCAAGTCTTCACGATGAGATTTAGCTCTGGTTGAGGTTCATCCCTGTTTAGGTTTGGGTTGGCCTAGAAGACTTTGGAGCTCACTTCAGACTCTGTTACTGCTCTGGCCCCAGGGCCTTCCTCCTGCCCCTAAGCAGCTCTCTCTGGATCTCTCCAGGCCCCCTGCGCGTTGTAGTACTGATCCTTACTGCTGGCCTCACCTGGATCATGGGCAGCATTCTCCTGGGGACGCATGGGAGCAGCTTCTCTCGGCTACAGCAGCTCTTCAGTAGTGAGTGCACCTCCTCTCTACAGTGCATGCTGTCTCACTCTTGAACCTTTCCCTTTCCCCTGGGGTCTGCTTAGGTAGCTCATTTAAGCCCAGACCCTTGGCCAGGGGTGAAAATGAGGCCCTCTGCATTTTTCCTGTCTCTTCCTAAATATCGGGTTCTCTCCTTGGACACTTGGACATGTGCAGTTCCCAGGTAGCAGCACAACCTCCTTTTCACATTCTAATTTGTAATGTCTACCTCTCTAGGCAACTCTCTAAGACTCAGTTGAAGAGAAGGTGTTGATTGGCATTAATAGAGAACATTTTAGGAGAGTTCTTTATATCACTGAAATCCCAGGGCTAGCCCCTATCCCTGATCTGACAGGGCCTAAGGAACCAACTAAACAAGTCATTTCGAATGTGTCTCAAATAAGATTAATAAGGACCTGAGTAAAATGTGTGAGTCAGTGCATCTTGTATTTAGCCTCCATGGGGGACACTATCTAATCTGGGGAAGGGGAGCCATGCTGGCTCCTCAGCAGGCATGGGGAGGGTCCCCTCCTATTTGGGGTGACGCTGCTCCGTCTCTCTCCTCTCTTCTGCAGGTCCTGAGAATGCAGTGACAACAGGTAGGTATGTGCCCCCTTCCCTGCATTCCTTCTCTTGTGATGCATGGTGGTAGCAGCTCAGATTCCCTGCACAGTCTTCTCATGTGCCCTAGGAGTGTCCCCCTCTGCCCCAGTGGGCTAGTGGAGGGTGCACTTATTTAATGGATGGCTGGAAAGGGAGGGAGGAAACTGTTCTCACTTCTCTCAGCACAAGGAGGGCTGAGACCATGGGCTTTGCCCACATCAGTTACACTGGAAAGGCCTCTGGGGGCTCTTTGAATTGTTCTTTTTTGGGGTGCTGGTCTGTGAGAAGCCATGATTCTCTTTCCTCTTGTGCCCCTAAATAGGCATCTTGTCCTTTGATTTCTTTATGGAGGGAACGGGTCCAGACGCATCAAGGGCAGAGCTGAAAGGTGTTCTGAGAGCCTGCTTTTCACATGTGACCATTCTTCTTCCACCTGCCATCTCTGTCCAGGGATTCGGGGGTGGGGCAGAATAGATGTGCACAGTTGTGGCCTCCTTGCCTGCCCTTCTCTGCTTGTGCCCTGTGGCCTGTACTGCCTGTCATCTGGTTCCCTGCTGCCGGTCATTACTTGCTTTTAGCGCTACCCTAACCATTTCACGGACTGTCCCATCCTGTCCTCTCTCTTGCTATCCCTACTTCCCCCTCTCCCCGTTTCTCTTCTCCTGTCAGTAGCAGAAAGGGCCTTCTCCCTGTGGTCTGTCCAGCCCAGCCCTGAGGCCAGCCGCCCTGCCAGGCATGACAGTGAGTGTGTCTGCGTGAGTTTGATGGGGCACACAGAGAGCTTTGACCTCCTCCAACAAACCCAGTCGGGGTGGGGGCAGAGGGACAGGGGTGTGGGAGGCTCCTTCATCCAGCTGTATCACCTCATCAGAAGTGGCAGGCCAGCTTCCAAGGGATTTGGAGCAGGGATCAGTCAGCACCCTCTTCCTCTCAGTATCCTGCCTAGGCCCAGGCCCTTCACCTCCCCCTTCCCCTTCCCCACTATTCCCTTTTCTACCTTTCATTCCCCTAGTCTCCTGGCCTGCCTGCTGCCTCCCCCACTCCAGGTCTTTCCTGTGTTTGGGGGTATCTTTTTTGCTGGCACTCTCTTTCCCCTGACCCCTCTGCTTTCCTGTACCTGGTGCTGCCAGCACCTGCCATGGATCCTGGCCCTGTTGAGGCTGCTAAGGCTGGGGCAGCTGAATAGGCATCACTGCTTCTTGTCCCTGAGCCCTGTAGTTGATCACACTGCACCACTGTCTCTGCCCAGAGCCCCGGGCCAGGAAGTATAAGTGTGGCCTGCCCCAGCCATGTCCTGAACAGCATTTGGCCTTCCGTGTGGTCAGTGGGGCCGCCAATGTCATCGGACCCAAGATCTGCCTCGAGGATAAGATGTGAGAAAATTGAGGGACAAGTCACTGGGGGGGGGAGGTGGGAAGAAGGGGGCGGAGTGATGGATGAGAGGGAGAATGGTGCCCAGAGTGGGGAGAGTTGAGGGGCAGAGAGAGGAATAGGTTTTTTTCCTCTCTCTTCCATAGTCCCCCATCATAGGTGTCACCGTTCTGTTCCCCAGGCTAATGAGCAGTGTAAAGGACAATGTCGGACGTGGGCTGAACATTGCCTTGGTGAATGGTGAGTCCGTAGCCCACTCCGTTCTGGACTTGGCAGGCTCTGGGAACAGATCCTTTATATGGACCTAGAAAGAGAGAATGAGAAAAGAGTCCCCACCCCATCTCCTGTGAAAGGGAGAGAGCCCCCAGATAGTTTGCTTTCCTTATTTTCCTGTGTCTAAGGCATGCCCTTGCTGCCCTCAAATGATACTTCATGTGTCTCATTTGGGCTGTTGCCTCTGACACAGTTAAAATTGGGAAGGTTTCTCTCAAAATCCCTTTAGCTGTTGCACTCTTCCAGGATAGCCTTAGGAATGTTGGTGTCTGGCTTGTTTTGCTTCTTCTCCACTGGGCCCTCAGTTACCCTTCCAGTGCTCTGGGCTAACAAGACACTGGGTGTAGGACAGGCTTTATTTAAAATCCAGAACAAATTAGGTCCCATCTTCCCTTGGGATCAGCGTAATCCACGTGATTTCCAGGCCCTTGCTGTGCTAATCCTTCCCCTTTGGGGACTGTGGCAAAGACCAAATGAGGCTGGAATTTCTCCATTTCCTCTCCATGCTCATCTCATCAAAGCTCTGAAGCCCTTTCCTTTCTCCCCTCTCAGGAATGGCTTGCCTTGTCCTCATGCCCTTTCTCCTTGACAGCCCTAGTACAACCCTCTCCTTGATTCCTAAGAAATGAGGATGGGGGCTGGAGGTACAGTTTTCAAAGCCTGGTAATCACAGTGTAAAGTAGCAAATAGGCCCTGACAGGGTGTCAACCAAAAGATTGGTTTGGGGATAGGGTCCATCCACTCTAACAAATAATTCCAATAGTGAGAACTGAGGCAGAGTTGCTGTAGGGGAGAGGCTCTGAGCAGCCCCTCCTAACATTGCGGGACCATGGAGGATAAGTGGAGTCCCTTCAGACCTTGCTGCCTCCTTTCCTTACCAACTAGCTCTTAGCCAGCTGTTTGGTTCTTGGATCCCATGAAAAAAATCCAGGACTCATTTCTCTTACATATATATATATATATACACACACACATATATCCCCTGCTATGTGCCAAACATTGGGCTAAACTAGGGATTGTTGTTGTTTGTCCTTCATTCTTGAAGAGGACCAGGACATCAGGAAGGTGATGCCATGACTTGCAAATGAATTGGATTTGAGTGAGGAAGGGCTGTGCAAAGTCATCAGCCTTACTTTCTCCTCCAGAGCCATCTGGGTCCAGTGGCAAGATATAGATCAGGACGACTGGAGATGGCCCCCTAAACTATGGATACAAAGAAAGGCAAAAGCACTGTCCTGCCCTCAAGGAGCTCCTAATAGGTGCCAAAACAAAGAAATTACTTATTAGACTAAGCTCCATTAGGAGAAGTGAGAGACTGGCCTCCAGTCCGCACAAAGTAGATATTTCATAAAATTGAGTTTGATTGAATCCTCTAAGTGCCAGCTGGAGTCAGGCCTTCAAGTTTCCCTGTGCTGAGAGGGGGCAGCCTCTCCCAGATAACTCCCAGACCAGTAGTGGGCTTGGACATGAATGACCTTGACTATAAGGCAGAATGGGATCTGTGAGCTGGTCAGCTCCAAGGATGGGAAGATTCTCAAATGCCAAGGTCACCAGAGATGGCTTTTGAGCTCAGCCTTTAAGAATGAAAAAGACCTGGCTTGGAGGGAAAAGGAGATTGTCTAGAGGGTTCTGGGCCAGGAATAGAGGACAGGGTTCTAGAATCTTCTCCAAAGGCTGTCCCTGGATCGTGTTGTACCACTGTCCTAGAAAAACTACATTCGGCCCATGCCAACTTCCATTTGGCACTTGTGATTAGCAGGTCCACCCACAGCTATTCCTTAGCTGTATTGGATACGGTTTGCCAAGAGAGCTCTGACCATTGTCTTTGGGTGTCTCTTCTTCCTACCCTCCCCCAGTGTCCACAGTAAAGATTTGTTTCTCCCAAGTATTTGCTGCTGAGCCCTCCTGAGAGAGGTCTAAAACCTGGGCCCCACATCTTCTGAAGGCTCATTAGCTTTCAGTCTTAGCCATTTCCACTTGGCCGTGGCAGTCCCTCAAGCTTTTTGGCTACAGGCTGCTTCCTGTTGGGGGAGGCAAGGATGTGTTTGTGGACACCCTCAGGGGTGTCCTATGCCCTAACCCTACCACCTTCCCATTGCAGGAGTGAATGGGGAACTCCTTGAGGCCAAATCCTTTGACATGTGGGCTGGAGGTAAGCGAGACCAGAGCAAGTGAGGCCAGCCCTGGGTTCTTCCCAGCCCTCACTTCCATACCTCTGACCATCCTTCCTTAAGGAGCTGTAGGTGGGTTGGAAGGGAGATTGCCCCACACTGTCTCTTTGTCTTTCCTTTTGGATTCCTTGGACGAGGACAGCCAGTTCTTGAAAATACATTTTGTTGATGGCTTTTTTTTTTACATCATAATAGTTTTTACATTTATATTTTAGTTTTTACATCACAGTAGTTTCTAGAAAAGTCCCTTCTCCCCCTCTTTGCAATTGACATAGAAAAGCAGTTAAGCAAAGACACACAGTGACTATCACCTGCCAGTATAGACAACATTCTGCCCTAATTGCCCCCATCTTCAGCCAAGAGAAGGTACATGAGTGTCACTGTATATTCTTTGGAAGCATTAGTGGGTTTTTCAGTTGCTTAAAGCTCAGTTTCCTGAGATCTTTGATCCATTCCTCGGGTAATTGAGCATTCTTTTGACTCTGTACACTTTGCTCTGTCAGCTCATACAAATCTCAGAACGATGGTCTCTTGCTGCCGAAGGCGCCATTAAATTTAGGTACCACAGTGCCCTCATTGTTTCTGGTTCTCTGCCACCATAAAAGTGCTTCTGTAATAGCAATGTGTATGTATGGGGCCTGTGTCTCTAGCATCCTGGTGCATATGCAGAACAGTGGAATGGGACAGCAAAGGGTGTGAACAGTCACGTCACTCTGGTAGAAAGGTTCCTCAAGGGAGCTTCTGGAGAGCCAGAGCACCAAGAAGGGCCCAGAGGCCTGGCCTCAAGTCTGGCCTTTGCCACTTGCTCTAATCTTGGGTTCGTCTAAATGTCACTTCCTTCACCTCTCCAGTAGGAGGATCCACTAGTGGCCTCCAGGATCCCTGAGCTAGAGCTCAGATGTTATCTTGCATGTATCTCTGCTCTTCTCCCTTTCTAGATGTCAATGATTTATTGAAGTTCATCCGGCCACTCCATGAAGGGACACTGGTGTTTGTGGCTTCCTATGATGACCCAGCCACCAAGTAAGAAGCTTCTGATCCAAGTTCTTGACTCTACTTCTCCATCCCCATTTTCCCTCCTTGCAGCCTCGTTCACCATCTCCACCCTACCCCCACCTCCCAGATTCATTTCTTTTTTCTGCTACAGGATGAATGATGAAACCAGGAAAATCTTCAGTGAGCTAGGCAGCACAAATGCTAAGGAACTGGCCTTCCGGGACAGCTGGGTGTTTGTTGGTGCCAAAGGAGTTCAGGACAAGAGCCCTTTTGAGCAGGTCTGTAGGGTCCTTCTCCCTAGAATGACTCTAGGTGGGGAAAGGTGGACAATGCTATCTTTCACTTTGGTTCACCCTTAAGGCCAAGGGGCCTACCCCACTGTAGACAGAGTCTGGGCCCAAGGGAATAGATTCCCCCTCTTCCCCAACTCCTAAACTTCCCTAGAAAGTAGGCTAAAGTGAAGACCATTTTACAGAGGAGGAAACAGGTTCAGAGAGGATAACATAAGTTGCCCCCCCCCCCAATTAGCAATGACAGCCCAAGCGTCTGGATTGCCATGGGAGAGAACCCAGCCTTGTGCCTTCACCTGCTGAATGGCCCCCTAGCAGCAGGGCCTCCTCCTCCTTCCTTTTCCATCATTCTCTTTCCTCATGGCTGCCCACAGCATGTGAAGAACAGTAAGAACACCAACAAGTATGAGGGCTGGCCAGAGGCATTGGAGCTCGAAGGCTGCATTCCTCAACGGACAGTGGGCGCTCAGTGAGCTGTTGTGCTGCCTCTCTCTCCCTCCCTCCTTACCTCACAGCAGGCCTGGCCTGGTGAGTTGCCCAGGTGGGCTGTCTGTTCAGGCCCTCCCTGGATTGATTGCCCCCTGGAGAAAGCCACCTGAATGAGGGGAGAGAGGCTTGAGCTGAGATGGGAGTGGAGGCTCACCTGGCACCTGCTTCTCTCCCCAAGCATGTGCAGAGTTCTCAGGCCCTTTCCCCCAGTGCCTTACTCCTTCCAGGAAACCTTTCTTGCACTTTTTCCAGGTCACTCCAGCTTTCTTGGAAACTGAATGTAACAGGTGGTGGGATAGTTAGGCCCCAGTCGGGGAAACCCTTCCTTCAGTCAGTCACATCCCCCCCCCCCCCTCCCCCCATAACCCATGGTCTAGCCAAGTCGGGCCCCTAGTGCATCCAAGGCTCTCCCTTCCCCACAACTCTTCCCCTTTATGCCTTTGGCTTGTGCTATAGGTCTGCTGACAGTCCTCTTGCCCACTCTGCCTTGGTTCCCAGAGCCCATTGCTTCCTTACAGCAGGGCTCTGCTACCTGGTCTAGCAGGATTTGAAAGTAATGGCATCACTTTGGGGTGGATATAAGAGCTCTGCCCCTCCCCCACATCTCCTGGCCCCATCACTTCCTCTTAGATGCAGAATTAAGGATATATGCAATTCTTTATAGTTAATTTAGAATTATCTTTAATAAACTGAATTCCTAGTTGATGCCTGGGGCTGCTTCATATGCTAGGTAAGCAGATACTCAAAGAGCCTTCAAGGGTCCAGTGGGACACCGAGGAAGGAGAGCAGGGACACTTTCACCTTCAGGAAATTCCTCTCCAAAGGGAAATAAACATATAGCTTTGACTTTGGCAAGCACCTCATCTGATAGGGCAAGAAAGAGCACCAGTCCCCTAGGTCCCCCAGGAGTTCTTTATCAATGAGGTGAGCCCTTGGTCAGATGAGCAAAAATGGGAATTGTCCTCAGGAAGCCACCCTCAGTCTTTTTTTTTTTTTTTTTTGGTTAGGCAATGGGGTTAAGTGACCTGCCCAGTGTCATACAGCTAGTAAGTGTTATGTGTCTGAGGCCGGATTTGAACTCAGGTCCTCCTGAATCCAGGGCCAGTGCTCTAGCCACTGCGCCACCTAGCTGCCCCCCACTGTGCCACCTAGCTGCTCCTTCAGTCTTTATATGGCTTCAAACAGAGCCTAACCACTGGCCAGGGTCTTCAGGGATTGCTATTCATTTCAGAGCATTCTCTTTTGAATGTAGAAGCTTTATCATCTTGGAGACCTGCAGTCTCTTCCACACTTCTGCCATGAGCAGGATTCAGTTATACTCTCTAAATCCAAAGGGTTCAGTCCCACTGTTTTTCCCTGCAATTCACACCAAGATTTCAGAAGCCTTAGTTTTTACAGAAGCTACTTAGGTGATAGCAATTACCCTTCTACCTCTTTCTGGTCTTTTTCATGTAAATGACATGCATCTTATCCCAAGTTTATGCCAGGTCACAAGGAGGTACATACTACCCCATCAGATAGACATAGTAAAAACCAAGTACATCAGTCACAAACAGGTCTAGACTAACATTATGTATGATAGCTGTGTACCCTGAACCTGATGCCATCCTGTGCTACTGTGCTATTCCCTTGTCCTCAGGTAGCATAGTACCACCTGGTTATATGAGTGATATCCTTGCCTATCATTCAGCTAATAGCCTGGTCAATGGCAGAATTGTCTGAGCATTTCTGTGGCACCCACTTTCACTTCTGCCCCCTAGGTGAGCTGATATCCACAGACCTATCCACTTACAGACCTAAGAATGAGGCCATGGAAGACCAAGTTGATCTTATGGGATCAGGATCTGTAGTTGGCCTGTTTCCTTGGGCTCTTCCTTGGGCTCTTCACTGTCAAGTATGTTGTCAGGAAACGTTCTGTTTTATCTGCTGTTCTCTAAGCAGAGCTCAGGGACCACCAATCTTTAAGGGAGAAAAAAAGAGTGACCCTTCAGTCAAGTGCCCTCTATGTGCCAGGTACTGAGGATGTAAATTGAAAAGTGAGACAGTTCCTGCCCCTGCCCCAAAAGAAATTGTATTCTACTGAGGACATAGCACAGTTACTGTTACAAATAAGCAAATACAAAGTGATTGGTGGGAGGAGGAAGATGTCTTGGAAGAGATAACAATTGAGCAGATGGATTTAGAAGTGAATTCTACTAAACATTTAAAGAACAATTCTAATACTATGTAAACTATTTGAAGAAAGTAGGTAAAGAATGAATCCTACTAAATTTCTTCTATGACACAAATATGGTTTTGAAACCTAAACCAGGGGGAGCAAAAACAGAAAACTGTAGGTCAGTTACTAGTGACTATTGATACAAATATTTTGAATAAAGTACTAGCAAGGAGATTAAAGCAATGTATCACAAAGATCCTATGATGACATGGGATTTATAATGGGAATGTAGGACTGGTTCAATATTAGGAAAGCTATATGCATTATCAACAAAAATATGATTATCTGAATAGATGCAGAAAAAGTTTTTGACAGAATACAACACCCATTCCTATTAAAACACTAGAGAGCATAAGAATAAATAGAACATTTCTTAAAATGAAAACTAGTATTTATCTAAAACCAAAAGCATGCACTATCTGTAATGAGGATAAACTGGAAGCCTTCCCAGTAAGATCAGGGGTGAAGCAATGATATCCATTGTCACCACTATAATGCAATATTGTGTTAGAAGTGCTAGCTATAGCAATGGCAAAAAGAAATTGAAGAAATAAGAATGGGTAATGAGGAAACAAAACTGTCCCTCTTTGCAGATGATATGATGATAGAGAACCCTAGAGAATCAATTAAAAAATTAGTTGAAACAACTTTAACAAAGTTGCAAGATATAAACCGACAAAAATGAACATTTCTATTACCATCAAAGCCTAGCAGGAACATAGAAATTCCATTCAAAGTAACTGCAGACAATATAAACTACTTGTGGGTCCACCTGCCAAGACAAACCCAGGGATTATATGAACACAATTACAAAACACTTCACCCCAATAAAGACTGAACAATTGAAAAAATATTGTTAATGGGTAGGCTCAGCCAATATATGACATATGTTAATTCACCTGTTCAGGGCCATACTAATCAAACTACCACAGAATGATTTCATCGAGCTAGAAAAAATGATGAAATTCACCTGGAAGAACAAAAAGTCAAGAATATCAAGGGAATTGGTGAAAAAATATATATATATAAAGGAAGATGGCCTTCCAGTACCAGATTGCAAACAAAGCAGCAATCATGAAAAAAATTGCATACTGGCTAAGAAATAGAATAGTGGATCAGTGGGATAGATTAGGTACACAATACAGAGGAATAAATTACCACAGTAATTGACTGTTTGATAAACCCAAAGACCCAAGCTTTTGGAACAAAAGCTATTTGACAAAAACTGCTGGGAAAACTAGAAGGCAGTTTGGCAAAAACTAGTCATAGACCAAAATCTCACACTGTATATACCAAGATAAGGTCAAAATGGATAAATGATTTAGACACAAAGGGTGATAAGTAAATAAGGGAAACATTAAAAATGTACCTGTCAGATCTATGGATAAGGGAAGAGTTTATGACCAAACAAGATAGAGAGGATTACAGGAAGTAAGTAACGTCGACTACATGAAATTGAAAAAGCTTTTGCACAAACAATACTAATGCAGCCAAACTTGGAAGGAAAAGAGGAAACGGGGGGGGGGGAGGATTTTTGTAGCAGATTTCTCTGAAAAAGGCCTCATTTCTCAAATGTGAACTGTATCAAATCTATAAAAATAGGAGGACGAGGACCATGACATCAGGGAGATGATGGCATGTTGTAGTTGACTTTGATTTGAGTGAGGGAGGGCTGTGCAAGGTCACTTTCTCCTCCACAGCCATCTGGGTCCACTGGCCAGATATTCATCAGGATGATTGGAGATGGCCCAGGATGCAATGGGAGACCCTGGCCCTTTTAAGCTAAGGTCTTTTCAGGTTCTTACTTTGAGTGAGGTAACGCCCATTCGGCAATATTATAATGATCAACTGTGAAAGACTTAGATACTCTGATCGAGACAATTCCAAAGGACCCATGATGAAAAATGCTTTCTACTTCCAGAGAGACCATTAATGAACTCTGAATGCAGATCGAAGCATGCTTTTTTCACTTTATTTTTCTTGCTTTTTTTCTAACATGGCTACTATATAAATGCGTTTTGCATGACATCACATGTATAATTTTTATCATATTTCTTACCTTCTAAATGGGTGGGAGGGAGTGATTGGGGGAGGGAGAAAACTGAAAATTCAAAATGGAAAAAAAGTGTTAAAAAACACTACGAAAACAAAAAATTAAAACAATAGTTTGGAAATAGCACATGTCCATTGAGTCCTTAAGCATTCATGGTTCTCTTCCCTGAAGCACTTCATCCTCTTTCACATTCCATTGATCAAGGGGATGGTAGCCAGTTGTGCTTTAGAACTACTGATTTCATCTTCCTACAGAACAAATGCATCAATTCATGACCCATGGTTTCATCATTTTCAGAACTAATTTCTCCAACCGCTCGTACTCATTGAAGGAAGAGTTGTAGAGGCAGCTCTGCCAATTCTGCTCTGATTCAAACTCAGTCTGATGTGCAAATGCAAAAATCTGTCACTTATTTTCCCACTTATTATTCACTTCGGAATTTTCTTTGTGTTGAAAAGCCGACTGATATGCTGCAAATACCATGGGAAGGGAGTATGAAGTAGATGGGGTGGGTCCCACCTGCTGCAAAATATTTTCACTCTCTGTTTCAAATCCAATACTACTGATCATGCCATCTGACTGCAAAAGTTGAATGAGTCTTTTCATGAAGCTCTGATCATCAGCAAAGTCTACAGGTTGACTTGGTTGGTTCTGAATGAATATAGATACTAGATTCATGATTGCATCTTCCTCGTCTTGTGAGACAATTTGTGCTGTAATCCCAGGCATTACTAAGCATTTAGTAACTCTTGTTCTTTCTGAACTCACAGTCAAAATACTCAAGGAGGGGATGAAAATGTTTTAACTTCAAAACTGTTAAAGTGTTAGGGGTGCCAACAGGTATCTTCGATAGCTTTGTGAGGCTATCTACTGCACTACTGATATCAATATGTTCCAGATTTTGCTTATTAAATATTTCCACTATTGTTTCTAGCACTATATCAACACAGTCCACATAATCTGGATAGCGCTTCTTGGCAAGGTGAATAAGAGACACTTGTAGAGATACCATATCTTCTGAAGGTATGTCTTGTCTGGACTGTATTACAATTTCTACTTGTAAAAATGTCCCAAAAAAGCCACCCCCATCTTCTACCCTCCAGCCTCCTGTGGCAGTGAGGAAAAGCATCACTTCATCATAGCAGCCTCCTACTGCTGAGGTGAAGAGAGTGCCATTCTATCAAGTTTCTAGCCTGTTCTCCTACCTTGGGGCAAGGAGAGTATCACCATTTCTTCTGCTCCAAGTTCTTGCTCCCTTACCTAAATAGGAGTTTTCCTTTGGGGTTCTCTTTCAGGAGGTGATCAGTGGATTCTTTCAATTTCTATTTTTCCTTCTGGTTCTAAAATGTCAGGGCAGTTTTCCTTGATAATTTCTTGAAAGATGATGTCTAGGCTCTTTTTTTGATCATGGCTTTCAGATAGTCCAATAATTTT